AATTTCATGAAAAAACTAGTTAAAAACCTATTTAATTATCTAAAATTAAACAAATTACTCGTTGTCAATGATTAGTTTCTATAATCTTGAAACCGTAGCCATTTTAAAAAACCTTCAAGAAATGTAATTCCACTGCGCATGCGTATAATAACTTTCCTCTTACAAACGACCGTGTTAGAGAGCTTATATACTCAGAGGCTAATGGGGCGTAAGAGCGAAAAGTTTAAAAGCGAAAGAGTGTAAAGTTTTATAGAGCGTTTTATAAGAGCGAAAGTTTTATAAGAGCGAAAAGTTTTATAGCGAAAGTACGTTAAAGCGAAAAGTTTAAAAGCGAAAACCGGGAAATCGAGTATTGCGATAAGTTCAACAACAACAACAACAATGTTATTATTGAAATTTTTTTTGATTTTGTTATTATTTCAATGTTATATTATAGATTAATTAGCGTTTGGATTTTTTTTTTTAACTGCTTATATTTTTATAATTAGTTAAATTTTTTATAATTATAAGTTAGTTACAGTTTAGAATTATTTATTTGATATTCTAGCTGAGAGTTACAGTTACAGTTAGAGTTTATTAGATTAAATAAATAAAAAAACTTATTTTATTTAGTTTAGAGTTTATGTATATAGTTTTAGTATAGAATTAAATGCATATAGTTTAGAATTATTTATTTAGTATTCTAGCTGAGACTTAAGTTACAGTGCGACAAAAAGGTATAAAATCTTGCTTAAAAATTATTTTTGCACTACAACTTAATAAGTTAAGATAAAAAAAAGTTTTGCATTATTTCTTATTGATATTATTTAATTTTAATTTGTTTTTTGAAATTTATGCATTAGATTTCAAGCAAAAGATTGTTTTAATGTTTAAATAAAAATTATTCATAAAATTAAAAAGATAAGAATTTGTAATGTTCTTTTATTTTGATTAGGTATGGTGAGTTAGGTTGTTTACACTTGATACTTTTAGAAATGATAAGATAGTTAAACCTCAAGAATTGATGTTTAAATTTTGAGTCATAAACTAAAAGCCAGGGCAAATATATCAACACAACATATTTGAAAGAGAGACATATAAAGGTTAGTTTTTAATATTAATTTTTTTTTTTTTTTTTTTTTTTACATTTTATTCACCTCCCCAAGGCCCGAGGGGGCCACTACAGTCGAGGAGGCTACTCATTTTTTTGTGTTTTTTATTTTTTTTTTGTTGTATTTCGTGGTACAACCCTCTCTCAACTCTTTAACTCCGAAACACGAACCTTGACAAGCAAGGCCGCTGCGCGGAGAAACTGAGTTGAGCGCGGTACTTCCAGGGACGTGGTGGGAGTCGAACTCCGAACCTCTCGCTTACAAAGCGAGCGCTCTTACCACTACACCACTGCCGCATTATTACCTAGTAGATAATAATATCTACAAATATTACTATTTATGTAAGTTAAGGCAAACTTTTATCAATAAACATTTCTTGAAATTTAAATGCTTAATTGGCGGTGTGCAAAGACCTTTTGCTTAAAACAATTGTTCTAAATTTCAGTCTTTGAATATATTGTCAACTTATGATTGTATAATAACATAATTTTAAGCATACACAATTGTTCTCTTCTCTTCTAAAACTAAATTACAAAAATCGTAAACACAACAATTATATAAACTGAATGTCATTCAGGGATTTGTATAAGCATGTTAATGTATGACGTATTATACAATGATGCGATATTAAATTTAAAAGTATACATCAATTCAAACATCTCTATAAATATTTATAAATATCTTATCTCTGTAAATCTTAAATCCATCCCTGCATGGAACACTTTTGCCATATCTTAATCAGGTCTTCCAGTAATGGCCTTTTTATTTTAGACAACGTACAAAAAGGAATTGTTTTTGCACCTTGACCTGCTCTTGCAGCCAACCTCCAACCATTAGAACATTATCACAATGTTGCTTTTCTTTTTATTTTTTATAAATACTATTATGGACACTGCTCTAAAGAGTTAGCATTTCTTGTGTCATTTACTAAAATTCACTTTTGTGTTACTCATAATTCAATAAAGGCTAACCTTTATTGAATGATGAGTGAATATTGAATGACTGTTTGTAAGTGCCCTAAAAATTCTTATCTGTTTTTTCGTGAAACTTTTTTTTCACTTGCTTCAGCTTGTTTTTTTATTCATATAATTCACAATCTATTAATTTTTCTTTTAGTTGTTATTTTGATCTATAAATTTCATCTTTTCTTTATTAGTAGGTGCTTGCAGTCTTGTTGGAAATAAAAATGTAAAAAAAAACATTTCCAATGAAAGTCTTCTAATGTATTGTAATAGCTGGAATGTTATGCATTTTACACTTTTTTTTGTAACAAAATTCTTTTTTTAGTAATTAAAAAGTTACCAATACATTAAACTTAGTAAATGATATAAAATTCCCAAAGAAGTAAAGTAAAATTAGATTCATATATAGCCAGCAGTAATTTTCGTTTTAAAAAGTATTTTATCTAGTTTAAAAACAACATAACAGTATACTGAACATTAAGTAAATAAGATAATTAAGACTATTACAAACCAATCTGTTGACAAAATTATTAAATATTTGTGCTAAGTAATACAAATGTAGGAATAAAAACTTCACTATACTGAGCTCACAAACAATTCATATCATAAATATTAACAAATCATGTAATTAAAACATAAAAAGTAAATAAGTTTCTCACCAATCAATCATCACCATTGAAACTTTTCAAACTAATTAGCCAATTAGTCTTTTTCACAATCAATTACTGAATTTTTAATTTTACATGCAAACAATCCAAAAAACATTACGCAGAATAATTTTTGGGATATTGGCATGTTTTTATATTTCAATAAAATGTAGAACTGCCGTCAAAAAATCTTTTAGGCATCAACCAAGAAGATTTACAGTTATTAATTAAATCATACTCTTGAATTGTTCTAAAAAAAAAAAAACACATTACAAAATAAGAAAGTAGTTAATAATAAAATAATCTTCTGCTTCCTCTTGTAAAATGAACAATAAATAATTTTGACTAAAATATTGCTGAAATTCAACACCTGGGAAAAAAAAGGACACTGTACAGCTTTCTGTTTAAAGAACAAATCAAATCAAAACAACATCATAAAAAAATTGTAGCAAAATAAAATACCTAAAAATTGAAGCAACATATTCCAAGTGTAACAACATCGATCAAGATAATGCCATACATAATGGTCACAATATAAGTATCTTTGTTATAGAGACTTATATTGTGATTTTTGACTAATAGACTATAAGTCAAATTTCAAGCAAATGCACCATATAAAAGCCATTTTTGCCATTTAAATAATGTCATTATGTCATAATTAAATACAACATATAAAAGTCATTTTTGACAAAGGCTTTAACCTGTAATTCATATTTCTAAAGTGAATGTTTGATAAGAATTATTAACATTATTCTAAACACAAATATTAGAAAACTCACTTTGCCTTGCAGATAATAAACAGTAAATATAACTGGCTGATATGCTGGTACATAAAAAAGAATCACTTCTAACTAACTAAATTTTTTATGCGATAACAACTAATTTTCCCTCTTATCATTGGTATAAACACTCAACTTTTACGCTTTGTTTTGGAAATTCTATACAATTCAATTTTGCCCTACTCAATTTCTATAAAGTATAAACTTCATAAACTTATTTCTGAAATTGACTCACTTCAATTGTAACAACTTTAAGATAACACAATTCAATGAAAAAAAAAAATGGTTAACTCATATATATATATTTATATTAAAGTAATGATGATACTAATGTTATTAAAATGTTTTTAAGATGTTACCAATGTTTTTAAAAAATTTTCTCGCTTAACTAATCGCATTCGCTTTTAACTTTTTCGCTTTCCCGACCTTTCGCTTTCAAAATTTTCGCTCTTAAAAGTTTCGCTTTAAAGACACCAAACCACTCAGAGAGCGGACATACGTGTGATCGTTTTTGATTGGTTGTTCGATTTTTATGATTTTAGACGCCATCTTTTTGCCAAAAATACTAACTGCGATTAAAGTCTACTACTAAATTTGTATTAAATATTTGTAAAAGTATGCCTGGTTGTGCTGCAGTAGGCTTCCATAACAGGCCTGAGAAAGGATTTATTATGAAATGCTTCCCAAGAAAAGAAAAACAACGGGCGATTTGGACTTCTGAAGTTAAACGACTTAACTGGATACCTACAAACACAAGATTTTTATGTGAAGTAAGCATAAGAAAATACAGTTTTATTTAATTAATCCTAGAAATGAGTTATTTTAGAATCCATACAAATACATTATATTCGTTCAATTTTTTTATTAAGGTACACTTTGATGCTGATCAATGGGAAAAAACCAGAGAAGATGGATCAAGAAAACTCTAACATAATGCAATTCCTACTGTTTTTGAACATGTTAGAGCAAAACATAAGCGAAAAAATCCACTCGAGCGTTTTCCAATACCAAAAAAAAAGAAAATAAGTTTTATAGAAAGAAGAGAAGTTGTGGAAAATGTTTTAATTGAAGTAAATAACAATTAAGTATCTGAATCAGTTTGCACAACTAGGGTTGATAAAAGTTTACTTATACAAGATTTAAATTGGAGAGATTAGAAAAAAAAGTCATTAATCAAAAAAAAAAAATAACATTTTAAAATCGAAAGCAAGAATAAATACTATTCAAAAATATAATCATATAAAGAGAGATAAATTTAGAGTTTTCAAAACAATATTTAAAGAAGATCAATTTTTATCCTTAAGTAGAAAAAATATGAAATTCATTAAATGGTCAAATGATACTATAAATAAAGAGTTAGAACTCAAATTTACATGTGGTCAAAGTGGTTATGAAAATTTACTTCGTTTAAACTTACCATACCCATCATTACGTACCCTACGACGAAGATTAGAAAATCTAAAATTATAAAATGGCATTCTAACAGAAGTCTTTGAGTTTATGAAAACTAAGGTGAATGCCATGAAAATCCATGAAAAAGAATGTGTTTTAATTCTTGATGAAATGTCAATAACTAAAAGTGTTGACTTTGACACATCTACAAGCTCTTACTATGGAGTTGTTACATTACCTGAACATTATGGCCAAGCTAACCATGCTTTAGTTTTTATGCTTGGAGGAATATCTACAAGATGGAAACAAACTGTTGCATATTATTATACTGGAAGTTCTGTTAATGGGGGTGTTTTAAAAAACATTGTCCTATCTATAATAAAGTATACCAAAGAAATAGGATTAAAAGTTAATAGTGTTACTTCTGATATGGGTGCCATTAACCAGGCAATGTGGAAATCTTTTAATATTAGCTGTACTAAAAGTGGCAGTATTTCTAGTTCAATTAAACACCCATGTGACCCTACTCGTACAATTAATTTTTTAGCAGACGTACCACATTTATTAAAGAATATAAGAACATCTCTTTTATGTAACAAACATTTTACAATAACAGCTAAGATTCAAGAAAAATATAAACTTCAATTGCCAATTATAGATTCAAAACACCTTAAAAAGCTTGTAGACTTTCAAGAAGGTATGGATTTGAAGTTTGCTTACAAGCTTACATCTGAACATCTTGATGAAAAACATTTCAACAAAATGAAAGTATCAAGAGCAACATCTGTAATGAATCATGATGTAAGTTGTGGATTAAAATTTATTGCAAGTGAAATAAAAGGTGATTCTATTCTCACAACTGTTTGGTTTATAGGAATTGTTGATAAATGGTTTACATTAATGACTTCACGAAACCTAGGTATGGCTCTTAGCATGAAAAATGACAAAGTTTACAATGAAACAATAACTTTTTTAAATGAAGTCATAGAGATATTCAATGGTTTAAAAATATTAGGCCAAACTGGAAAAATAAGGTGGAAACCTATTCAATCTGGTGTTATATTATCAACAACATCAGTTATTAACTTGCAAAATAACTTTCTTCTAGAAAAAAAGTTTGATTTTCTAATGACATCACGATTTACGCAGGATTGCCTGGAGAATCTTTTTTCCCTGGTACGTGCAAAACAAGTAATTCCTACTGCTCTTCAATTTAAAAATAACTTGAAACTTATTTGTGTTGCCCAATTCTTAAAAAAATTATCAAAAGGCAGTTATGATATAGATAACCGTCAATTCTTATCTGGTTTTCTTGATATAGTTAATAGTAAGGTGCATAAGCCACAGCGAAGAGAGTGCATTTTGTTACCTAAAGATTGGGATAAAACCTCTAACTTAATCTTAAGTAATGCTGAGCAAAATTGTTTGTTTCATATTGCAGGTTATAAAATTTCTAGAGTTAAAAAAATTGAAAAAGTTTGCACAATTTGTTTTGAATCTCTAGTTTCTAAAATTAGAGTTAATGCTGATTACACAAAGTTTGTTACAGACAAAGAGCACAAAGTGGGTAGTTTATTTTTTGCTAATGAAACAACATTTGCATTCTTTTTACAAATGGAGTTAATATTCAGATCATTTGAGCCATACCTTAATTCCCAAAAGAATTGTAATACTATGCTTTTAGAGAAAATTAATTCTGATGAACAAATTAAAAGTCTAGCTTTGTATCCTAGTTGTCATCAAATTAAATTGAAGCTAAAAAACAGGTTTATAACATTCAGACTTAAAATATTTAGCCTTAAAAAGAAGCGTTTATTATGTAAAAAGAAAAAAACTAAAAAAAGTTCTTGTGAACTTGGCAGCAAGAGTATGACAATGCATGCATTGGCACTAAAGGTTTAGGTTCAACTAATTTATAAAATAAACTGTAAAGCTTTTTTCAAATTACTTATTGATTACAACTACTTTTTTGCTGTGTTTTTTTTTAAAGGTATTTCCTAAATAAATAAATAATTTTGTCAAAAAATAATTTTGAAAAAATAAAACATAAAAAGGTTTAATTTTTAAAAATATATTTCTGTTTAAAGTATTATTGTGCTCATTTTCTTTCAATTGTTTTTACTTGAATTCGTAAATGTCATACGCTAGTTTGGCAAAAACATGGCCGCCGTTCTTCCGTATTTTCCGTATGTCCGCTCTCTGAGTATATAGGCTCTCTACATAACGTGATGTAGCAGATCTAGTTTAACTTATCGATTTGTTTATTACCTATAGCATTGCATTAAACTATTGCATAAAATAAAATGCTATACAAAATAAGAGACATAATAAAAAAAACTTTATTGAAAAATTATTATCTTGTAATCAATATATGTGCGTGTGTGTGCATATGTGTGTGATATATATATATATATATATATATATATATATATATATATATATATATATATATATATACATGTATATATATATATATATATATATATATATATATATATATATATATATATATATATATATATATATATATATATATACATGTATATATATATATATATATATATATATATATATATATATATATATATATATATATATATATATATATATATATATATATATATATATATATATATACATGTATATATATACATGTATATATATATATATATATATAAATATACTCTTGCATGTCTCTTGCGTGGCATCAAAAAATGTTTCCCATAAACTGTAGTTTTAGAGAGCGCGTTAATAAACCAGACCTGAAAAAGTTTTAAAAATTAAATTTTTTTTTTAATTGATAGACTGCCTGGCCAAACCAAACCCTCAGTCGATGTAGCAGCACTCTCTTGCGAGTCAGGCTATTTGTCAGTCGTTGTAGCAGCACTCCCTTGCGAGTCAGGCTATTTGTCAGTCGATGTAGCAGCATTCCCTTGCGAGTCAGGCTATTTGTCAGTCGATGTAGCAGCACTCTGTTGCGAGTCAGGCTATTTGTCAGTCGATGTAGCAGCACTCTGTTGCGAGTCAGGCTATTTGTCAGTCGATGTAGCAGCACTCCGTTGCGAGTCAGGCTATAAGATAGTCGATGTAGCAAGGTAATTAAAATTGTAGTCGTAAGAGACTTTTTTTACATTAAAATGCTCTGTAAGCTACACTATATGGGTATATATATATATATATATATATATATATATATATATATATATATATATATATATATATATATATATATATATATATATATATATATATATATATATATATATATATATGGTAAAGCTACAGTTACGCGGCCTAAAATAATTATATTTTTGCCAGGGGGTTTTGTTACATCGACTATCTTATAGCCTGACTCGCAACGGAGTGCCGCTACATCGACTACTATCTTATAGCCTGCTGCTACAAGGAAGTGCTGCTACATCGACTGAGGGTTTGGCATGGGGAAGCAACCTTTTTTCTTTTATTAGATCAATGTAGCAAAACCCCCTGGCAAAAATATAACTATTTTAGGCCGCGTAACTGTAGGATTACCTATATATATATATATATATATATATATATATATATATATATATATATATATATACTTGGCTATATATATATATATATATATATATATATATATATATATATATATATAATATATATATATATATATATATATATATATATATATATATATATATATAGCCAAGTATATATATATATATATATATATATATATATATATATATATATATATATATATATATATATATATATATATATATATATATATATATATATATAGCCAAGTATATATATATATATATATATATATATATATATATATATATATATATATATAGCCAAGTATATATATATATATATATATATATATATATATATATATATATATATATATATATATATATATAGCCAAGTATATATATATATATATATATATATATATATATATATATATATATATATATATATATATATATATATATATATATATATATATGTATATATATATATATATATATATATATATATATATATATATATATATATATACCCAATATTGGATATATATATATATATATATATATATATATATATATATATATATATATATATATATACCCAATATCGTGCCAATATTACGCCAATATTGTTTGCTACTAGGGTATTTATATTAATTAATTATTTAGTGTTATAAGAGTTATATGGGTCATACCTCATATGGTTAACCTAACACTATATTTTTATTATATACTAATATATATAATATGACAATTTTGTTTATATATATATATATATATATATATATATATATATATATATAATATATATATATATATATATATATATATATATATATATATATATATATATATATATATATTCGAGCTTTAATCGAGCCTAGATGAACGAGCCTATGATGTTCAAGCTCGGCTCGTTTAATAAACGAGCCTAATTTTTTGTTCAAGCCCGGTGTCGCGTTAGGGTAAAGTGACCAAATTCCAGCCGCATCTTTACAAAATTGTTTCTACAGACATTAACAAAGAGGTCTATATGAAAATTATACATTTCTAAAAAGATAAATCTTTCAGCATTTAGGATATAATTACAGCAATTATTATAAATAAAAAATGTTTGATAAAACAACGATTACAAAAAGTATATAAATTTGACCAAAATACAGCCACTATGACCAAATTTCAGCCAGGCGTATGCGGAATGAACCTAATTACAGCCAATATAAATAACAAGCTTTTTATAATACTTTTATGGGTTGGCATTTAAAATATTTTAAAATTAATTGAATTACTAAATATTGAACCAATAATTTTTTTGATGTGATCTTATACATCAGTTAGAAAATGATTGCTTAACTTAATACTAAGCATTCATCAACAAATAAACTTAGTAAGGATGCCTAAATCTAAAAAAAATTATTTTTTAGGACATGATTTTAAAACTATTAAAAAATGATTTTGAAACTATTTTAAAAGATTTGCATAGAATATAATATTAACATTAAAAAAAAAAAGAATTCAGTGAACTCTATAAAAGACTTTTTTAAACACTAAGAACAAAAATTCATAACAACATGATCAAATTAAACATTGCTTTTTTATACTTTTATTGGTTCATTTTTATAGCAACGGTTTTTTTCTAGGATCATCTTTTGACAATACCGTTGCTTCTTTTATTTTTAAGTTTTGTAGTCTTTTCAATTTACGCATTTTTTTTTTCTTTTCATTTTGAGCTTGTTTTTGCTTCTGCTTTAACTGTGACTCATATGCTTCCTTAGAAGTAAGCGCAAAAAACTTGTCTGCATTCTTAGCTTTTTTGCTCTTTGTAAAATTTGGATAAGAATATGGCAAAATGTCATTATCTCTATCTCCTGGATAAGATGAATTTTTAAAGGGGAAATTTGGGGCAAAAGATCTAGTTTTTTCAAAATCAGAAGCTAAAAGAGTTGAAACTGTAAAATCAACTTCATGCTGATCAATAGGCTGCTCAATTTCAGAGTAAGACATAATTCTAAAGCTGTCTTGAAACTTACTAGTAGCTTTATTACTTGCAGCTTTTAGTTCTATAGTTTTCATATTTAGTTCCACTAAATCATCACTCCTATGTTCTACTACGGTTATTGGTTCAGCTAAATAGTCGTGATTATTTGCTACAGCAAATCTTGGGTTGGTAATTAGATGTTGTTCCAACTCAATATCTGGTAAAAGTACTTTTGTGCTGTCTGTTGTTTGCTTAATCTGCTTAACTATTGTTGTATTATCAACTGTTTTAATTTGATCAAAGAGATTAGTCATTAACCTGTCTTCAGAATACACATAGTTTGGCAAGTAAGCTTCAGCTGGAATAATTGAAGGATTATATGGAAAGATTCCACATGATTTAAAGCCAGATTCAATATTAGCTTTTGTCATACTTTTATTCCAGGCTTTGGTTAAAAGTCCTGTAAAATTGGCCTTGTTTATTATAACCCCAGGGTGATTAGACATCATATCCTGGGCTGCTTTATTATACAAAACTTTGAATGGCTTAAATACAGTTCGATCACAAGGTTGAAGCCAATTGCTTGTATGAGCAGTTAATTCAACAATTTCAATTCGGCTTTGTATGGCCATATCTATTAACTCTACGAAATTATGGGAATCGTGGCCATCTAAAATTAAAACTTGTGGACGTTGTGGTCCAATGTTTTTTAAAAATGTAACCTCAAACCATAGTTTTGCAATCCCTTGTTTAGTCCATCCAGATTCACTTGGACTCCAGTTGGTTTCTTCAGGGGCATCTAGAACTTGAAAACTTTAAAGGGATTTTACTGTCTTTCTTTTTGGAATCACATGAGGTGGTAAGACTCTTCCTGCTGCATTCACACAAACAATTAAAGTAATCATTTCTCGATTTCCACTTGTTCTCATATATAAATATTTTGTACCTTTTGCAGCAACTATTTTGTGCGCCTTAAAGTCTAGCTGCAGTCCTGTCTCATCCATGTTCCATATTACTTCAGGCTGACAGTCTTTAATGACTTCTTTAAGTGCAGTAAAATAATTTGCCACCTTTATCATTTTCATGCATTGATGACGAACTGATGCTGTTGATTCTGGTTGTCTAAGAGTTACTTTTTTGTTATGTCGATTGTTAAGTAGTCACCACCATTTATTAGATGGTTTGCCATTCTTAAAAGAATATCCATATTTTTTGGCAAGCTTGCCAGCATATACCAAGAATTGTTCTTTTCCAAAACCAATGCCCATCCTAGCTCTGTTGTCTGCAAAATCGAGTAACTTTTTTTCAAGATCAAGCGGCATTAAACTTTTTCTTCCTGCTTTTGCACCAATCTCAACTTTTCCATTTATCCTGCTCTGCAAAGTTGCTCGGGGTACTTTAAAAAATTTAGCAGCAGCTCTAACAGACATTTTTAGGTGAACTTATAACACTGTTTATAGCTTCAAGTAAAACTTCCTCTTTATATTTCATATATTTACCTCGAGTTGGATGACATTGTTTCTTATTATAAATTTTATTTTTATTATCAGCCATTCTAAAATGAAAACTTTATATTATAAATTATTAAAATTTTCAATTAAAGATTATTTTTTATGTAATTTCATTTATAAGTAATAATTTATATGAAACAAAATAATATCTTTCAATTATTTAGACTTTTGTTTATTTTTAAGTCATCATTCTCAAATTTTAAAAATATTATATAAATATTTAACTAAATAAATGCAAATATTTAAGATTGATAACTTTTAGGACATAAATGTAACATAAAGTACTTATATTAAAAGAATAAAATCTAATAATATAAATATCATACAAGTATAAATTACTTTTAGACACTCGTGAACCTAATTTCGGCCTTGGCCGGAATAAGGTTTATACCTGGCTGGATTTTGGTCTTTCTACCAGGTGCAATTAATTAAGAAATACAATTTATAGTAATGACTCAACATAATTATAAAGCTAAAATTGTCTTTTTAAGAAATATATTTATAGTTTAAAATAATTAACATTTCGTTAAGTAATAAATATTTAATATTTATAAGCTTCAACCTGGATGCTTACATGATATTTTAAATATAAAGTAGTACTTTTTTGAGATAAGTATTTTTTATGATGTTACTTCTATTATAAACAGCCGCCAACTATAACAATGCTTTTTTTTATTGGCTGAATTCATACCAGTCTCAAAAAAGTAGCATTTACAAACATAAAGCAAAAAACAAGACAGAAATAATAAATTTAAAATGTGGCTGGAATTTGGTCACTGGCTCGAATTTGGTCAGTTTACCCTACTTATCTTTTCGTTGTCTTTTTTTACGGTTACCGCAGGTCTACAAATACGCCATTTTTTTCGGCATTCCGGCTTTTCGGCGTTTTAGAATTCGGGTTTATAGGCAGTCCCTCTTACCTTGACAACGTTTTTGTTTCATTTTGACATAGGGCAAACTGACCAAAATCTGGCCACTTCTTACTTATTTGTTTTAAATATAAATTCGCATAGCGTAATATAAACAAAACAATTTTAATATTAATAGGATATTCAAAGATGAATATAATTACAATTTTTTTTTTTAAAATTAGGCTAGACAAGCATGCTTAAGCACCAATATTTTAGACGTACGCTAAAAGACCTATTTCTGGCCACTTGGATATAATTCTGGCCGGTTCTTACCTAATTCTGGCCATCGGCCAGATTAAGGCATAATATAGAAATAAAAGACCGAAACTAAGCTTGTTTACTTATTACAAGTTTAGTCAGGTATACTAAGTAGAACATAGCAATAACTAGGATATTAAAAGATCAATATTCAAGTTAAAGACAATAAACAAAATAAAAACGAATAATTAAAACAAAATAAAGCAAAATAAAAACGAATAATGATTAAAAAGAATATGTTTATCTTCATTTCTTTTGCAGTTATAAATTTTTTTTTTTCACTTTGTATTTTTTTTTTTTTGTTCTTGGAGTAATTTTTCTTCATTCTTTTTCTTTTTTAAAATAATATTTTCTTTTTTCTTTTCTTCTTGGAGTAACTTATTTTTAACTTCTGCATGTTTGTACTCCATAGCTTCTTTCGATGTTAGCAAAAAATATTTTTGTTTTAATGATGTTTTATTTTTTTTTATGATTTGTGTTGGATAAGGTAAAACATCAGAATCTGGATCTCCTGGAAAAGAATGATTTTGAAATGGAAAATTTTGATAGATATCTAAACCTCCTATCTCTTTTTTTCTTGTGACATCTTGATTATTAATATTACCAGAAATTAAATTAGTTGCTGGTGTATTAGAAATGACACTATCTTTATTATTAATATTAACAGAAACTAAATTAGTTACTGATGTATTAGAAATGGCATATGTATGATCAAAATTTAAAGGTGGAGATTTGTTAATTGCTAACGCTGATATAGAAAAGTCAACTTGTTCCTCATTTGTTGGATTTGATGGATATTCCATAAACACTTCTATTTCACAATGATCATTAGATAGTGATGTTAATTTGTCTATGTTATTCAATATGTTCTCACTTTTTTGATGGCTTTCTGACGACATGTATAGAGAATTAGGAATGTAAGCTTCGGTTGGAACTATATTTGGATCTTATGGAAAGATTCCACAAGCTCGAAAACCAGATTTAATATTATTTACAGTAACAGATTCACTCCAAGCCTGCTTCATCAAGCCACAAAAACTAACTTTCGAAACTAGTGTCCCAGGAAAATTACTAATCAAATTCTCACATGCTTTTCTGTAAGCTTTTTTGAGTGGGCCAAACACTGTCCTATCACAAGGTTGTAGCCAGTTGGAAGTGTGCGCAGGCAATTCAACAATGTGTATTTTGTTTGCCACAGCCACATCTAATAACTCAACAAAGTTGTGTGAGTCATGTCCATCTAAAATAAGTAACTGAGGTCTGTCAGAACCAATATTTGGAAGAAATGACTTTGTAAACCAGAGAAACGCAATGCCCTGCTTTGTCCAACAACTGTCTGAAACACTCCATGTGCTTCCTTCAGGGGCATTTTCAATTTGAAAATTGCACAGAGATCTTATAGTTTTTCCTTTTACTATAAAATGTGGAGGAATAGAGTTACCGGTTGCATTAAAGCATGCTATAACAGTAATCGTTTCCCGATTACCTGAAGTACGACTATGTAGATACTTTACTCCTTTTTTAGCAATTATTTTTTCAGGGCGATAATCAAACTGCATACCAGTTTCGTCCATATTCCAAATGTTTTGTGGTTTATTATTTAAGTTGTTTTCCATTAATACATTTTTGAGAACAGAAAAATATTTTGAAACTTTAGAAGCATTCATACATTGATGTCTAATAGCAGCTGTTCCTTCTGGTTGACGTAAAGTAAAGTGCTTGTGCCTTTTGCACATTCCACGCCACCATTTTTCAGAAGGTGTTCCATTCTTAAATGATTTTTTATGTTTTAAAGCAAAGTTTTCTGCATATTTAAAAAATTGAGATCGACCGAATCCTATTCCTAAAGATGCACGATTGCATGCAAAATCTACTATTTTATTTTCTTCTTCTGCAGTTAGAGTAGTTGGATGTCCGGGTTTGGCTCCAATTTCGGTTACTCCAGATAGTCGAACTTGCAATGAACTTCTTGGAACGCCAAAAGTTTTACAAGCAGCTCTCTGTGAAAATCCATTTCTTACAGCTTCAACTGCTGATATCATAGATGCATTATTCCATAGACAGTGTTTTCCACGTTTACTTCTTGGCACTTTGATTTTCTTTGAATTATTTTTAACTATTTTATTTTTCTTCATTTTTTCCATTCTAAAGAAAATTGAAAAAAATAAAATTATTATGATTCTTGTGGCTAATGCTGTCTGTTTTTTACATTTATCTTACTGTATATGTAAGATTATATTATTAACAGCAATAATATAATATTTATATATAGTATATATATATATATATACATACATATATATATATATATATATATATATATATATATATATATATATATATATATATATATATATATATATATATATATATATATATATATATATATATATATATATATATATATATAGTATGTATGTATGTATGTATGTATGTATGTATGTATGTATGTATGTATGTATGTATGTATGTATGTATGTATGTATATATATATATATATATATATATATAAATTTATATATATAATATTTAGTTTAACGTTCATGATTTCACACTTGGTGTGGCTTAAATGGTTTTTCATATTTCATATTATCATAATATATCATATTTCATAAATATATATATATATATATATAATATATATATATATATATATATATATATATATATATATATGTATATATATATATGTATATATATATATATATGTATATAATATATATGTGTATATATATATCATATATATGGTATGTTACATGAAATCATTTCATGTAACATATATATTATATACATATATGTATACATATATATATATATATATATATATATATATATATATATATATATATATATATATTTATATATATGTATTTATATATCATATATATACATATATTATAATATAACATATGTATATATATAATATATAAATACATATATATAAATATATATATATATATACAGGGTTCGTAGCCACATATTTATAAAAATTTCCCTGACTTTTCCCTGACTTTTCCCTGACTTTTTTGAAAAATCAGATGAATTTCCCTGACCATTTTTAACATTTGCAATGGTTTTTATAAAATGTTAAAAATTACTACTGTAATGAAATTTCTAAAATGTACATGCTTAGAATGAAAAAACTTATAAAACTTAGCTATTAGTTAAGTTGGATGTTAGTATAGATTTTATTATGCATATTAGTATGGATCTTATTATTAAGGATGACTAAGAATAAACAATAAGAAGTTTCAGATGAGCTTCTTAAAAAATCTAAATATTATGTACATAAAATATTTTATATATAATTATTTTTCACTAACAAAAAAAAAAACTAAAACGTCTATGTAGATATCTTTCAACATTTTGAGCAATACTTGGTCTATAACAAAGACTACTTTAAGTTAGTCGTTTTTTATCACTATTTGTAGCTGTACCTTCGCTAATTCAATAATACCTCCAGATAAAAATAGCACAGTATAACAAAACATGCTTAGAAACATTAAAAAAAAACTTTTAATTAATTTTAAATTGCATATATTTTTTAAGCAAAATCTTATATTGAAAATATAATTAAAGTTTTTTAATTAGCCATATTTGCATAAATGTCAACATAAATAATATTTTATATAAACAAACAAATTGTCAAAAAGCAACTATTGTTAATTCAGTTTCTTTCTCTTCTCTTCTAATATCAATAATGTTTCCTGCAACTTAGCTACGTCTTTCATTTTCTCCTCACTTTTCCTTTTTAAAGCATTCGCTTTGCTAAACAATGATAAATTGTTTTCTTTTTCCGCTTGTTCCACAGTTAAGACAAACTCTTTTTCTAGCATCAATGAAGTTTTTGTAAGGAAACCCATTTTAGATTTTAGCTCTTCAATTTCAGACAAAATAATGGCTTTCTGATCTAACATAGCATGTTTTTTATTCTTTGACTTCTCTTCCTCAAGCATGATCTGGTATTTTTGATGTGCAGATTTTAAGGCAACTTTCATTTCTGATGCAATCTGGACTGAGGTTGTTGGTAAGCATGAAATCACGCAGAAGACGCCATTTAACAATACCATCTGTTGATATATTATTGGTAACCACATCCTTATTGACACTAAACCCCCGTTCAACTAATGCCTGTCCATGACTCAGAGTCAAAACCAACTTAATGACAGATGACAACTCTGGATACTTTTTTATGTCAATGTTTTTGAAGTAAAAATCATCAAGACGTTTTTTATTTCGATCATAACTAATGAAAACATCCTGATTCATAGCAAATTCTGATGAAATAAACTTTGAGAACTGGCTGATAACTTTGTCAGAATAAAAAGCAGTTAATATTCCAAGTGAAATAAGATGATGCAGCAATATTTTCATTTGATTCTTATTTTTTTCAGGTGTGATCTGAGCATAAAAATTTGGAAGCAAACAAGTACTTGTGTTAACAATCACGGAATCAAGGGGACATCTTTTAAATAACTTTTCAGCAGCTGAAATCAAAATGTGCATGCATTGAATTTTAAATTCTTTCATATCCTTCAAAATAACTGCATCATTTTTTCTGAGCTTTGACAGTGATAATTCAGCAGCAAACCCAATATCAATTTCACTGGGTTTTAAATGGTTCTTTTTATTTTGCAGATCAATTTTGGTAAGTTTTGAGGTAGCCTCAATAGTTTCAGATTTAATGAACATCCTAAGAATACACTAATCAACTGCACAAGATCACCATTCATGTGAGGCAACATTGGAGCGCCAGTCTGATAGAGCTTCAGAAACGGTCCAAACATGCTTGTCAGGTAGCTAAAAAACTGGAATTTTACAAGGGAAAGTTATTTTTTAACAGCATTTACAACAAACTTATATGATTTGCAAGATGGTTGTTTACTTTTAGGCAGAGACTCCCAATAAGTAACAATTTTTATAATAGATGGCCAAATGCTAATTAATCTATCCGCTACCTTTTTGTCTTCAACCCATCTGGTTGCGCAAAATGAAAGCGAGAACACAGAATCTTCAGTGATACTGATAGTCACTTCTTCTGGCAGGAGAATCATGAAATAAGGTAAAGCAGCTTTTAAATGTCTTTTTAAGTTCCCAATCAGTTGATTCTACTCCTCTTTTGAAAGCACAATGAATTATGTGTAGGGAACAGCAGCCTATGTCAATAAGTTTAGATAACTCGTGCTCTTCACGTTTGCTTTGAATGTCTCTGTGAAATTTCAAGTTGACACTGGGTCTATCCATAGAGACCTGAACAATTTTGCTGATATTAATATTACTTATCTTTTCATTAAAATGATTTACCAAATCAAGACTAGTACTATGTCCCATAAATGAGGAATTCCAATACCTCACTTCAACTTGTATTTTTTTCCTCATTCCAATACTGGATGAGTAAATCCATTTGACAAGTTTGAGTTTTTTTGTTGAGGGATTCATCAAAGGATACGACAAGCCAAGGAGACAGGCTCATTTGTTGTTTAAGTAAACCTTTAAAGGCCCAAGACCATGAGTGATGCTATATCCAACTTTATTTGGTCCTATTTGAAAAGATTTAGCAACCTCACTGTCAGGAAACATTGCTTGAAACAAATTTGTCACATTTTTGTTTGAATTGTTAAAAATTCTATTTAAGCAACAATGCAATGCCCACATAATTTCTGCACAGATTTTATTAGAATTTGATACGACGAGTTCTAAAGATTGCTGCTTCATTTGTCCTGTTGAGAAACTATCAGTTGTCTTTAAATTAGACTCTTCTACTGAATTAGGTGAACTAGTATTTTTAGAGGCAGATGATTTAAAAAAACAAAAGAAATTGCTTGCAACTGAAACATGTTTTTTTCCTTTCTCGTGACTTTTTATTGCTTGAATACCCATGTTTGAAAGTTTAATTATTTTATTGCATAATTTGCATTTTGCCTGGGTGTTATTTTCCCCTTTCATTAGCCAAGAGTCAAAATGAGGGTAAATGTCTTTATTTAATCATTATTTTTTAAAATAAGCTTTTCTTTCTATTTTATTCATTATTTTAATTCTAAAAATGGAAACAAAATATTTCAAAATGATTTATATTTATAACATAGGGCACTGTAACAAATTTCATTGTATTAACTTTAAAAACCTTTTTTTTATTTTCAAAATTTATTTTCACAAGGATTTTAATCTAATAGTCATTGTAATGCTTATAGAAACCAATACTTTTTTAATAAAAACTTTCAAAAGTTTTCAACAAAGTTGAAAATCTTTGAAACTTTCTGTAACCTATGTAACTTAAAATAAAAAAAGAAGTTTTTCGCTTTAAAGACACAAAAATGTTTAAAGTTAAAGATGCTTGTTTAGATGTTGTTTATAGAATAAATTACAGAAATAGTTTTAAACGATTGAAATTGATCATAAAAAATTAGTTTTTTTTATAATAAATAAAAAAAAGGAATTATTTTTTTTTTAATAAAGAAAAAAAAAGAAACATACACTATTATTGTAAAAATAAAATAATAACTATAGATAACTTAAATAAAATATTTTTATTGATTAATATTTTAAAACAATTGTTAGTAATAAGAGCGTTTTT